TCAACCCCCCCCCCCTTATTAGAGATGTGTACATTTCATATTTGATTGAGGGCAACTTCTGTTGGTCTTACAAACTTCTCTTTTGGGTAAATAGTATAGATCTTAATATGTTGGGTAATGACAGTTATTTCTTTAAAGCTTTTACCTGTTTAAACAAAAACCTTTTTGTTTCTCATTAATGAATAAAAAATAATATACTTCTGTTAAATAACATACCTTAAATACATTAATTAAAAATCCGTTTTATTGGGCTTACTAACTAGATTATTCCTACCCTTCCAAAAAATGACGATTTTTTTTTCATATAACACAGGATTTGGAAGATTTACAGGTACGTCTTCCATGCACTAAAAAATACTAATCACAACTGTTATTTCAGTTGGTGGGTCATAAAAGATCTCTTTCATGAATAATTTTATTTACTTCACTTTCGGAACCAACACACAAACTCACAATAAAGAAAGGAGAAGTTTTGCTTTCAGCCAGTTAGTTACTCAGTTGTAACTTCCCATGTGTGTTGTTCTGCCTTCCAGTACATGTGAGAGAAGTTATTCCACCGTGATAATTGGATAAACTATTTTGGATTTACAGTGAGTAGGAATATGTGTGCAGGAAGTTACTATGGAGAAGCTAATTTTCTGTTGAGTCATACCATAACTTGATGATAACTTCTTTTATGTGTTCATGTCTTTAGACTCTTTACGTGAGAAGGGTGACACTCTGGATTGGGTTCAAAGACATAATTGACTACAATTTCCCCTTTTTGCTGAGAAGGCTGCTGACATGGCAGTAAACTGCCACGGGGGGTGCAATAATTCCATGTATCCAAAACTAAAACAATTAAACTTACATAGGAAGGAAAAAAATTAAAATGAATTTAAGACGGCCTTCCACTAATTAGATTCTATGTCTGGAAATTTGTAACACATTTATAATAGAATCTAATTATTGGGGAGGCCATCTTAAATTCAAAGTCATCTCAGATTTGGGTAAATGAGTTCATTTATATTCTTGCTTTGACTACCAAAGCTCATTGCCTACTAGCCAAGTTTTTAAAAATGTTCTCTACAGTAGTGGTACTGAGCATTATATACTTGGACTTTGGAGTAGAGACAAACTTATTCTATCAACTCTAATTTTCTAATGCAGAGTTTGCAGAGGGAGGAATAAAGGCTGCCACAGCAGCTTTCATTCCTCCTTTGTTGCTTAAACCTCAATTAAGAACAATACTACCCTGTCTTGTCTAGATGTGTACTCTCGATATCACAGCCAATAGCTGACTGAATATAAATGTAACTCAAATATGGTTGCAAATATATAATGGAAATGGGTTTTACCACTTGAACTTCCATACCTTCTCATTTCAGAGAATAAGACACCTTGTCTCGAAACTGCAGTGATGAAACAAGAAGCGACAGAAAAAAACATTTCATATACTTCTGTTCAAAGACGAAGCACTCAAGGTAACTTTATCCTCTAAAATCAGAAACAAGGCTGTAGTGGAGTGAGGGCTAGGGCCCTCTGGTGGCAGAGGTGCTAACCAGTGGCCCCACTCTCCTGTTCCAGTCACCCCTGGATTCGCCTGCAACACCTTTATTGATACATTGGGGTGAATGGGAATGTACCTTGTCTCTGAGGTAGCTTATCACAAGGGTTAAGGAGAGTCCCGTTGGATGTCTGTGCATGGCTCTTTCTCCTCTACACCCTGCGCACGCCTCTTATGAAGAGGTATGCTGTTGCAGATGTTGACAGCTTCTCTTTCAAGGTGGTCTCTTTGGTTCCTCTTCTTTCTTCTGGTATTGCCCCTTTAAGATGCTGGGTCCCTGCTCCAAAGCATTGCCTCTTTTAGGATCACCAGTCCAAATGATAGACACAACTTGGGCTTGCCTTGTTGGCTTTGTGAGTTCGTCCCACTAGGGGACTAGCCCTTGGGCTCTTAGACCCTGTTGGTCCCAATCTCAGCCCCTCCCCGGGCTCCTGCATGCTGTTACTAGTTGCTTCAAAAGGGCCGTGTAGCTCTGTCGGCCAATGTAGGATCTCTACCTGTCAGCTATGTAACAGTGGTTGTGTGGCAGCTCCCACCCAGCTACAGTCCCAAGCCAGAGCCAGAACCAGAACTGCTGCTATGGCTATGTGGCTGGGCAGGGGCTGGTATGTCCATGTACTTTGTGCCAGAGCCAGAGAGTAAGCAGTGGTGTGGGCAGCAGGGCAGTGCAGGCTAGAGGCTGTGATGAAGAGAGACAGTGTGGGGAGGATGGGTAGGGGGAAGCAGTGTTTGCAGCTCCATCTCCAAGCTGGAGTCTGAGGAGATGCTGCAGCCACCTGCCCCCTTCTCCTCTTCTCTGCCCCCCCACCTCCCCATTTCTACTTGAATCTGAGATGAGGAGCTTTCCCACCACCCCCATGTTAAATCAATGTAGAAGGCAGGGAAGAACAGTGTAAGGGTGTCTTTTGTTTTACTGTAAGTTATTTACCAAGGGAGTAAAGGGGCATTTCCAACAACTGACTCTAGGGTCCTGGACAGATATAACATTGGAGGCTTCTTGGATGCCTCTGAAAAGTTTCAGACGGTGAGGGACAGATCTACGCAATCCTTTGAAGCACTCCAAAAAAATAACCCTGTAGGAAGCAACTACTATTTTTAAATGTTTCTTGTTACATGTGGATGATCTACAAAGCATGATGAGGGGTTTGGTACTCCAGTATTCCATAGGGTTCTGCTCCCTTTCTTTGCTCCCCCCTTCTCCCCTCCCCTTCCAACATACACACTGGGCGGTGAAAAGTTGGGCACTGTCAGGTGACTGCTGTCCTCTATGCTCCGTCTCTGTTCTTGCAAAGAGCCCCTGTAACTAGAACTGGGAGCCTCACTTCGCACTACACCTCTCCCAGTTCGAGCAGAGGGATACTCCAGGACCGCATAAATGGAGTATATGGGAGAGCACTTCTTTATAGTCAACTCTACCTTCCCCTGCCCACAGCATTCCCCAGTGCGAAATGCAGAAGTCCATGGGAGACTAGGGGATGCAGAACATGTGCTGATAGTTGGCTCCACTCACCAACCACTATCTGCAGTGCAGCTGATCTGTCAGTGAGCGTTCTGCAACTCCTGGAGCACCCCACCACCTCCCTCCTGGAACTGGGAGCAGTGAGGGGCTGGTCTTGGTTGGGAGAAGCCAGGAGACTGGAGGCAGAGCAGTTATTGGCACTTATTGAAAGTCAGCTTCACTTTCCTGCACTTGGTTGGAGAGCACCTTGCTGCACGTAGCTGGTGATTCTTTTTTTGAAGCACTCTAGGGGTTGCTTGGTTGTCCTCTGGCTGAAGTACTCTATTTTTTAAGAACTTCGAAGTGCAACTGCGTTTTGAAGCACTTCAGATAATACATTTTTCTCTACCCTAAGAAGCCTACCCTAAGTTAATTGCTTTCTTATGAGGCACTACTATTTACTAGTATTATAGTCACTGAATACTGAGAACAAATGCATTACTTAACGTCTTTTGTATACGTTACTTCATTAATACTGTAATGAGGAAACTATGGAAATATTTTCTTGTTGAAATAAAATCTTAAATTCACATTGGTGGAAACCAATTGCTCGCAGTTTATGGTGTGTTGTTTCCATTTCATGGATACATCAAAAATATATATATTTTTATAAGTTATAAATGATTGTGGTACAATGTCCTGGATTATGCATTTCTTTTTGTGAAAGGCTTCAGTTTTGTTACGGTTTATGGAAAAGTGTCTCCAAAGGCAATGTGCACTGTTTCAGGTTCCTTCTTACTAAATGCACTGATGAAACAGCCTGTTGTCCCTGGGTCATTACTTG